CCCTATAGCAAAAACCTCTCTAAAAAAATAATAAAAAAAAATTTCAAGGGCAACATTTGTGCTTATACAGATGTATCAAGTTTGTGTGTGTGTGTCGGGAGGAGGGCCGAAAAGCCACCTATGAGACAATACAACGTATTTGAGGGACCAGGAACTAGGCGTCTCAGGCAGTGGTATTTTTCTACTCTGGGAGCCTGGATAAGGTTCCACCATCAGAACCTTCTAAAGCCCTCAACCCGAACTGTGTACTTCAACCCAGTGTCTGTGGGCTGCAAGCCAACTCCTGTAGCTCAAAGGTGACGGATAAACACTGAAGGGATCTTGGAGGGGGAGAGACTTCAGAGATCACCCAGCTCGGTAGTTCTTAAATGCAAGCCTGCAGCCCTGGTTCGTCAGACTCATCTGGTGGGGGCCCAGGCTGGGGAATGTAACGTGAAAATAGATTCCCAGTTCCCATGCCCAGGAATTACAGATGGATGGCTGGGGTGAGGCCTCAGAATCTGTATTTTTAAAAGCTCCCCATGTGATGTGGCTGAACAGTCATGGAGAAGCATCAATGCAGTCATGCCTCTACCAGCAGTGGGCGCTGTTCGGATATATTAGAGTTGACGAGGCAGCTGTTCAACCAATACCTTTAATGCATTCAGTGGGACAGATGTACAGACTCCCCGCACGAGTGTCCCTACCCAGTGCCACCATCCTTACCCTGTCTACCATGAAATCAATGGCATCGGCCATCATGGGGTCCACTGGGCCAGATGAGAAGTTTCCAAGAACGATTTTTTTGAGCATAAATGCCGGCATCAGCCAAAAGCTGTAAGACAAAGACAAACATCTGCTATCTTAAACGTCTAAGGTGGCACATAAGTGGCAAATGTTCATTCGACACTGAAGCGCTGTATTAGTACGTACTTGGGACCTGGAGATAAAGAGCCTCAGTCCCTGCCTTCAGAGTGCTGCTTCTAGCTTTAACACACACTTTCTCAGTGTCCCAGACTTGCGGCTTAATAAAGATGTAGGATAATCATAAGTGCTATTTCAAAATACCTTTACTGAGATAGACATTCTGATGATTCCACGATTAAAAAAAAAAACATTTATTTATGTATCTATTTGTTGTGAATTACAAATCGCTGGGTCTGGGACTTGATCTGTAGTTGGTCATGCAGAAATCCAGGGCCTTAACTATTACACCACCTGGTGGCCCAAGATTTTTTTTTTTGACTGGCCTTACTGCGATGGTTAAACTATTTTTATTGACAAACTGAACATCGGGACCAGCAGGTGGCGTGGTGGTTAAGGTGCTGGACACTCCCACATGGCCAACCACGGTTCGAATCCCAGACCTGGTGGCTTGCTTTCTCACTCCCCCCACCCGCTCTCTCTGTGTCTCTCTCTGGTCAAATTAAAATAAAATGAATGAATAAATAAAATAAAATAAATAATTCCTTAAAAAAAAAGAAAAACTGAACATTAAGAGAAATATTCTTTCCTTCCAGATAATTTGATTTAATTTTTGGATTTACTGATATTTCAAATTACCAATATATTTCAAATTCACACCTCCCAAAATTTGCTACTATTAGATTCAGCTGGGCTAATTCAAGCCAATTAGACCTTTTCCCCCAAAATTTTATTAATTCACAAAATACCTAAAACTAAAAATATGGACAAAGCTAGAATCTAGTTACAAGTACACAGTAATTTTCTTCTGAAAAAATTTTTAAAAATTAATTAATTTACATTCATTCCCTGAGCATTGTGATAGCATACAAAATGTGATTTCCCATCCAGAATATACTGCATAGTGGCTTAATCATACATGCTATCATCAATAATTTTCCATTCTAGTTTCATACATACATATATATATATCCTTATTTCTGACCCTCTGCCATTTCCCACCCTCCTCTCACACTATCTCAGGTGTCTACGGTTGCTTTCCATTCCTTTCCCCCCACACTTTATTGATTCACAAAATGTCTTAAGTAATCTAACTACTTTCAACAGCAAGTTCAGCTGGTATGTACGTATCTGTGAATACACGTCTGACTTTAGGTGTGAAACTCTGAGTGGAATGAATATGCTGTAAGGTAGCACCTAGCCGATGCTAAATAGCTTACTATGGTCATTAAATAGGTATTATTAATTTTAAGAAAAGCAGTTTTAATTTTAATAAATCAAAGAAATGCTAAGGAACTTTTGCTTAAAACTTAAAGTCAGGAAACAGGTTAGGATTCTGTTCAAATAGTAGGTACAGTACATGAACGGCAGTTCAAGACAGAACAAAAATCCATAAAACTGGAAAACAAAGCCTAGAAGAAAATCAAATCAGTTTTAGTCAAAAGTCATAAAATGCTATTTCACCAGTTCAGTCTCATGTACTTTATCTTCTGTTGTGATTCAATCTTCCTGATTAAATTCTAGGATATAATATTCAACTCCAGACTTGTCCCTGTGATTAAGTTGGCCATTTTCTTAGTTTTTGAACTCTTATTTCTGTGTGTCTGTATTTAATTTTCCTGGTATAGCACTCTCTTGAGAACTTCTTGGAGATCTG